CCAAAATGTATTCTGCTACGTCTTTGCTAAAAAAAAAAAAAATTCCAATACATGTAAATTAATTGATTTAGGTGAAAGTTATAACGTCTACAAATGGCGGTATATATACACTGGAATTTCTTTTTTTTAATACTAGTAATGGCAGCGATCAGCGACTTATAGCTGGAATGCCGGACTGTGGCAGGCATTCTGACACTGGGGGGGAACTATCTGCCACTGACATCCCCAGTGATAGTAATACAGTGATCAGTGCTAATAAAAAGCACTGACAGTACTGACACTGAGCAGGAAGGGGTTGCCATCTGGGATGATCAAAGGGTTAACTGTGTGCTGTGTGTTTTACTATATAAAGCGTGCTAAATGAGTACACCCCATCAGATTTGTCAGAAAACCTTTACTTTCCTTTCAGAATCAACATTCTACATTACACTACAAAATACTCCTACTAATGTGGGCCATTGATTGCAAACAAGATTTGTTAATTTAAACACACAAAAGTATTTTTCCTAACAAACTCATTCAAAACCATGTTGCAAAACTTAATACACCCCAGTGAAAGTCTTAGGAGCAAAGCTAAATTTTAGACAACAAAATCCTAACTAACAAGAATTCAAGAATTTCATGCTGGCAGCAATGGCACCACATGGAAGAGAAATGTCACAAGGCCTGAGAAAGAAAATAATTACTTTACACAAGAAAGGAGAAGCCTACAAGAAGATCAGTAAAGCTTTACTTGTCAGAATACTGTAGCAAAAGTAATAAAAAAAAAAAAATGTAACTAAGATGGAACTGCAACCATCCCACAGAGACGTCCAGGATGTCCACAGAAGTTAACACCTCGACAGGAGTGTCTTCGGATGAGAAGGAGTGAAGAAAACCGCCTAAAGAAGTAGAAAGCCAAACTGGTGTAATGGTTTCCAATGACACAATATGGCATACACTGCAGAGAAATGGCATGCATGGGTGTCGTCCACGAAGAAAGCCTCTCCTAAAGCCCATGCACAAAAAAAGCCCACCTAGAATTTGCCAGGGCCCATGCTGAAAAAGAAGACTACTGGGACTCTGTACTGGTGAGGTCAATATACCGTATTTTTCGCTCCATAAGACGCACCTGACCATAAGACGCACCTAGGTTTTAGAGGCAGAAAACAGGAAAAAAAAAAATTCTGAACTAATGGACTGCAGACACAGTACAGGAGATGACCAGAGACTGCGGACACAGTACAGGAGATGACCAGAGACTGCGGACATAGTACAGATGACCAGAGACTGCGGACACAGTACAGGAGATGACCAGAGACTGCGGACACAGTGCAGGAGATGACCAGAGACTGCGGACACAGTACAGGGATGACCAGAGACTGCGGACACAGTACAGGGATGACCAGAGACTGCGGACAGCACAGAGATGACCAGAGAGTGCGGACAGCACAGGGATGACCAGAGACTTTGGATAGTACAGGGGATGACTGCTGACCTTTGGGGAGGTGGGGAGCGGGTACCTGAATTTGACAGGTACCCGCTCCCACTTCCGCGGAGTTGTTCTTTCATCTTACCTGTTCCTTTATCCAGCCGCACGCTGTCTTCCCGGCTTCTGTAATGGCGCTCGGCATGACAGCCGGGTGCCCAGTGCGCATGAGCGAGAAGCACTTGCGCTTTGTGATTGGTCCGGCGGCTTCTGGGATCTGTCATGTGTCCCAGGTGCCGCCTTACCATTCACAAAAAGCACCGCTTCTTGCGCATGCGCACTTGACACCCGGCTGTCATGCCCACACTACAGAAGCCGGGAAGACCGCGCCGCTGGATAGAGGAACGGGTAAGATGAAAGAACAACTCCGCGGAAGTGGGAGCGGGTACCTGTAAAATTCAGGTACCCGCTCCCCCTCCCTCCCCAAAGGTCAGCAGTCATCTCTAAGGTCCCGCTGTAGAGCTGAGCGGCCGGCCCGGTATTCTGACACGGCGGCAGTGGAAATACCGGACCGGCCGCTCCATATTCGCTCCATAAGACGCACTGACATTTCCCCCCCTTTTTTTGGGGGAAAAAAGTGCGTCTTATGGAGCGAAAAATACGGTAAATGTTTTTGGAACTGATGGCTTGAAAACTGTATGGCGTTGCAAAGGTGAGGAGTACGAAAAAAAAAAATGCATGGTGACTATAGTGAAAAGTGGTGGTGGCAGTGTCCTTCTGTGGGGCTGCTTGTGTCAGGGAGCTGCATTTCATTGGTGGCATCATGATCTCACAGATGTACTGCTCTATAGTGAAAGAGAAGATGCTACCATCACTCCGTGCCCTTGGACGTCGTGTATTTTTTCCCAAAGTGATGATGATCCAAAACACACATCTAAGGCCATTGTTGCATTTCTGAAGACCAGGGTGTAAGTGATTCAGTAACCAAGTATGTCACCTGATCTGAATCCAATTGAACACCTATGCGGAATTCTGAACAGACAAGTTGAGCATCACTCTTCATCCAGCCTCTAAAAGAGGTCGTTCTTGAAGAATCGAAAAAGATTGATGTTGCAATATGTCACCAACTTGTTCATGCCATGCCTAGAAGACTTGGTGCTGTCCTTGCAAATCACGGAGGTCATACAAAATACTAGATGGAGTAGTTTTTGTTGTGCAGTGTAGTCATTTTTCCATCAACTAATTTGAGAAAAACTGAAGATTTTGTAATCTAAGTTATATTATTAGTTTAACGTGTGTACACACACACTGCCAAAAGTATTGGGACACCTGCCTTTATGCACACATGAACTTTAATGGCATCCAAGTCTTAGTCCGTTGAGTTGACCCACCTTTTACAGCTATAACCGCTTCAATTCCTCTGGGAAGGCTGTTCACAAGGTTTAGGAGTGTGTCTATGGGAATATTTGACCATTCTTCCAAAAGCGTATTTGTGAGGTCAGGCACAGACCTGACTCGCAGTCTCCACTCTAATTCATCCCAAAGGTGTTCTATCAGGTTGAGGTGCAGGCTAGTCAAGTTCCTCCACCCCAAACTCGCTCATCCACGTCTTTATGGAGCTTGCTTTGTACACTGGTGCGCAATCATGTTGGAACAGGAAGGGGGTCATCCCCAAACTATTCCCACAAAGTTGGGAGCATCAAATAGTCCAAAATGACTTGGTATGCTGACGCCTTAAGAGATCCCTTCACTGGAACTAAAGGGCTAAGCCCAACCTCTGGAACACAACACAACCCCACACCATAATCCCCCCTCCACCAAACTTTACACTTGGCATAATGCAGTCAGGTAAGTACCGTTCTCCTGGCAACCGCCAAACCCAGACACGTCCATCGGATTGCCAGATAGAGAAGCATAATATGTCACTCCAGAGAACACGTCTCCACTGCTCTAGAGTCCAGTGGCAGCGGGCTTTACACCACCGCATCCGACGCTTTGCATTGCACTTGGTGACGAAAAGCTTAGATGCAGCTGCTTTGCCATGGAAACCCATTCCATGAAGCTCTCTACGTACTGTTGCTGTGCTAATCTGAAGGCCACACAAAGTATGGAGGCTATTGACTCTGCAGACAGTTGGCGACTTCTTTGCACTGTGTGCGTCAGCATGCGCTGACCCAGCTCTGTCATTTTACGTGGCCTACCCTTCGTAGCTGAGTTGCTGTATTCCCAGTTGTCCCCCCTTTGTTTTAATACTCCTAACAGTTGACTGTGGAATCTTTAGTTGCAAGGAAATTTCACAGATGGACTTATTGCACAGTTGCAACCCATCACGGTACCATGCTTGAATTCACTGGGCTCTTGAAAACGATCCATTCTTTCACAAATGTTTTTAGAAGCAGTCTGCCTAGGTGCTTGTTTTTTTACACCTGTGGCCATGGAGGTGATTGGAACACCTAAATCCAGTGATTTGGAGGGGTGTCCCAATACTTTTGGCAATATAGTGTATACACACACATACACGAGGGGCATTAAAGCCAAACTGGAACTTTTTAGTTTATAAAATAAAAGAACAAATTTCAAGGAGTAGAAACTGCAATCACTTTTCACCATACTCCCCTACTACATTTATACACTTATCCCAGCATTTAACGAATAGCTGGAAAGCTTCACCATAGCCATTCACCAGTACGCCTGAACCATCCTAGGACAGCCTGCTTCACTTCGTCATCAGTGCTGAAATGCTGACAAATGAAGATTTGTCTTGTGCAATTTACGACAGGTTATGCATCGATTATCTAGATTCAGGCATTCCACACCCTGAATGTTCACAGGAATGACTGCCGTACTGCCATATTTGAAACATTTACACCATTCAAATGTCTTACTGCAGCTGAGCATCACATTACCGTACTGTGCTTGAAGTCTTCCGTAGATATTCGTGGGTTTTATACCTTCATTCACAAGAAACTTCATCACCACACACTGTTCAATGCACGCACTAACACTGTTGTCTGCCATCTTGATTAATGGTCTCTGGACTAGCCTACCAGTAATAGGACACACATGCACCTAACTATGCCACTTACTACTACATGTAGTACCACCAGACTAGCATTCCTTTTTATACCTGTAAAATTAAAAGTTCCGGCTTGACTTGAACTCCCCTTGTGTATATATCTCAATATCTATCTACAGTATCCATAGATCTAGCTCTCTTGAAATTTGCACGTGTGCCTTTGGAATACTCTGTTTGCCCAGGGAAGAGCGTTAATGGTGAAGTTTACAAAATGATTTACAGATTAACTTTAAAGACTCAATAACATCACGTCACATTTGAAGTGTACAAAACCACATGGTGCCCCAGCAGCATGCAGTTATGTGCAGCACGATTTAAAAATAAATGAATAATACAAATGTAAAAAAGGGTAAGGGACTTCTTTCTCCACATTTTTGGAGGTACAGCAGCCCTCTGAAATGAATGGGCTGCTCTTCATGCAGAACGCAGCTGCACAGGTGTGAACCAAGCCGTAAAATGAGACATTTTTTGCATTTAAAACTGTAAATAATTTGAGTTCTAACCTACTTTACTTACCTTTAGTTAAAGCCACCGGTCCAAAATAGTTTGTGTCCATAATCATCCTGTCCACAGTAATCTTTGTGTCCCGAATGGTTCCACGATAACTAATTCCTGCATTATTAATTAAGATGTCCACTTTTCCCGCAAGCTGAAGAATCTCATTGGCTGCGCTGGTTACAGCCTCTACATCTGACAGGTCAAATATTACCATATGTGGTTTATACATCTATGGTGCAAAAAAAGGACAAAATACAGCTATTACGGCATTTTCCCAAAAAAGATCTGCCAGTTCCAGGCAGAGAACATATGTATTCTGCTTTCCAAAGCGTTTATAAAGATCACAAATCAAATTAATTAAAATAGAAGCTATAAGGCCTGTTGCACCAAGGAGTAAAAACAAGCGGATTTGCTTACTGATCTGAAATGAGATGCATTGTTGTCTATGGGACATTGCACACAGCTGATTAAATATCAGTAAGTAATCAACATGGAGTACAGAGCCGTGAGCAGTAAAAAAAAAATAAAAAATTGAAAATTTTTCATTTGAGTGCAGAATTGTACTTGCATAAGCCCCTTGCATGCAAGCATCATAATTTACTGATGTTTACCCGGGAACTTGTGATGCTGCTGTGCAAGGGGCCACAATACTGGCAATTGAGAAGAGTTTTACTCGTCTTTATACACTTACACACCTATACTTGCCTATACTCAACATTACTCAGGTCCTTACACATGTTTTGGCCCCTAGGAAACGGACTTCACAAATTCCTGAGTAAACATTAGAAAATTATGACACCTGTGTGCAAGGGGCCTAAATGTTCAGGATCAATTTTATTTTTTTCTAGTGTACAGTATACAGTGAGGAACAGAAGTATTTGAACACCCTGTGATTTTGCAAGTTCTCCCACTTAGAAATCATGAAGGGGTCTGAAATTCACATTGTAGGTGCGTTCCCACTCTGAGAGACAGAATTAAAAAAAAAAAAAAATTCAGGAAATCACATTGTATGATTTTTAAAGAATTTGTCTTCCACTGCTGAACACAAGTATTCGAACACCTGAGAAAATCAGTGTTAATATTTGGTACAGAAGCCTTTGTTTGCAATTACAGAGGTCAAATGTTTCCTGTAGTTCTTGGCCAGGTTTGCACACACTGCAACAGGGATTTTGGCCCACTCCTCCACACAGATCTCCTCTAGATCTGTCAGGTTTCGGGGCTATCGCTGAGCAACACGGAGTTTCAGCTCCCTCCAAAGATGTTCTATTGGATTTAGATCTGGAGACTAGCTAGGCCACTCCAGAACCTTAATATGCTTCTTACGGAGCCACTCCTTGGTTATCCTGGCTGTGTGCTTCGGGTCGTTGTCATGTTGGAAGACCCAGCCACGACCCATCTTCAATGCTCTGACTGAGGGAAGGAGGTTGTTGCTCAAAATCTCACAATAAATGGCCCCATTCATCCTCTCCTTAATACAGTGCAGTCGTCCTGTCCCCTTCGCAGAAAAGCACCCCCACAGCATGTTACCGCCCCCCATGCTTCACAGTAGGGATGGTGTTCTTGGGATGCAACTCATCCTTTTTCCTCCAAACACGACAAGTGAAGTTTAGACCAAAAAGTTCTACTTTGGTCTCATCTGACTACATGACTTTCTCCCATGCCTCCTCTGGATCATCCAGATGGTCATTGGCAAACTTTAGATGGGCCTGGACATGTGATGACTTGAGCAGGGGAACCTTCCGTGCAATGCATGATTTGAAACCATGACGGCATAGTGTTCTACTGACAGTGACCTTTGAAACTGTGGTCCCAGCTCTCTTCATGTCATTGACCAGCTCCTCCCTTGTAGTTCTGGGCTGATTCCTCACCTTTCTTATCAGTGATATCCCACGAGGTGAGATCTTGCATGGAGCCCCAGTCCGAGGGAGACTGACAGTCGTCTTTAGCCTCTTCCATTTTCTAACAATTATTCCAACAGTTGATCTATTTTCACCAAGCTGCTTGGCAATTGCCCCGTAGCCCTTTCCAGCCTTGTGGAGGTCCACAATTTTGTCTCTGGTGTCTTTTGACAGATCTTTCGTCTTGCCCATGGTAGTAGTTGGCGTCTGACTGACTGTGGGGTGGACAGGTGTCTTTAAAGAGCTCAGACAGGTGCTACAAAGTTAGATTAATGAGTGGAGTAGAGGTGCACTTTTTAAAAAGGCACAGTAACAGGTCTTTGAGAGCCAGAATTCTTGCTGTTTCTTAGGTGTTCAAATACTTATGTTCAGTAGTGCAAGACAAATAAATTCTTTAAAAATCAAACCATGTGATCTCCTGAATTTTTTTTTAAAATTCTGTCTCTGAGTGGGAATGCACCTACAATGTGAATTTCAGACCTCTCCACGATTTCCAAGTGGGAAAACTTGCCAAATAGCAGGGTGCGCGTGCGTCTCTCTCTCTCTCTCTCTCTCTCTCTCTCTCTCTCTCTCTCTCTCTCTCTCTCTCTCTCTCTCTCTCTCTCTCTCTCTCTCTCTCTCTCTCTCTCTCTCTCTCTCTCTCTCTCTCTCTCTCTCTCTCTATATATATATATATATATATATATATATATATATATATATATTTGTTTTATTAATGCAGGGGTGTGGAAATTTTTATAAAAACTACTTGCCCATGGACTAAATTGGGGTTCCAATCTTCTTATCCCTCATGACAATCTACTTGTCCAGATTAAAAGAAAAAAAATTAACTAAAACTGTACTTAAATCTGAGGTGCTTTTAGGAATGTTGGGGGCTTTTAAAATCAAAAAGGGGCTTTATGGCAACTTAAACGTTTAATATTTTTAACATTGCGCTGTTTATCTCTCCTCCTCCCTCTCTGCCTTGTCTCCAACACCGCACCCAGGGACTAGCAGGGAGGAGAAAGACCTTGCAGTAAAATGAGAACTGACTGGGTGATCCTCAGGCAAAAGGAGAGTCGGGCTTATCCTTTACCCCTTTTGGTGCAAGAACCGTTTTTGCAGGTTTTTTTGCACACGTTAAAAAAATCATTTTAGGCTTGAAGATTACACAAACCCCTAAACATATTTTTTCAGAAAGCAGAGAATAAAATAGTGGTAGCTCCAATTTTTTATGTCGCATGATATTACTGGAAACTTTCAGTAAAAAAATACACTTGTTATTTTTAGGACACAGAAAAGCCATGAATTACTCTTTTTTTTTTAAATTAAAATATAAAAGATGAGGTTGCTCCGAGTAAATAGATATCCAACATGTCAAACTTTAAATTTGCGTGCGTTCGTGAAATGGCGACAAACTTCAGTACCCTATATTTTCTATGGCGAAAAGATCCTTATTGGTCATCAATATAGTGTTACAGAGGATGTATCATGCTAGAAGTATTGCTCTCATTCTGGAGTGCACGGAGATATGGAATGTGTATCGCAATTGAAGTTTTCATGCGTAGGCACCCCAGCATGTGCTTTTACGTTTGTACGTGCGTATATATAGGGGTGGGGGCCTCAATTTTTCCTTTTGAGGGGATGTTATGTGCTTGGGTACAAGTTAAAATTTTTACAATTAAAATAAAAATAATTTTTTTTCATCACATAGGGGACAAAAAGGTTGCGAAGGCTGGCACTGTGGGCTGTGTGGAAGCAGTCAGGCGACAGCGCAGCCACCCTAGAGATCATTCAGCGTTAATTGACCGATGCATTTAACTTGAAATCGACCTCCTTCAGACCTGCATTTGACCTCCTCCTGACTTTCTTTAATCTGCCATTGAATTTTTATAGACTTGTATAGAGAAAAGAAGTTCTGACATAAACAGAGTGTCAACACAGGTCCTAACTGAGCTCTGTAAACATGTCTTTTCAGCAAAGCAGAGGACAGACAGGACAACACGATAAAAAGTCAAATTGTAGGATCTGATTTTAATGCAAAGATCATTGAGATCTCAGTTCAAAACAACTGCTTTCATTTTGAGTTGAGACGAACACATGAAATTAGCCAGGGCATGTGTCGTGTCCCGGGAGGTTGCAGGTGGGTAGGGAGGCATCCCAAGCTTACCTACTTTGTTTTAAAGTGTACATATTCTCTATAAATTGCAGGTTTTCCAGTGTTGGTATGGGTCACCTTATCTTATGTACCAGCTAAAATATGTATATAATGTTTATGCAGAAATGTTTTTATGCAGAATTTGTAATTAACTTCTCGCCTAGCCTATTGCAAAATGACAGCCCGAGTGCGACTTTCATCATTCCAGGTGGACGTCACATGACATCCTCCCAGAAAGCGTCCGCGATCTGTCACCAGCTATGTTGACCGAACACAGCCAATAACAGATCATCGTTAATCGGCACGCTGCCGGTACCACGTGATCGCTGTGACTACAGCAGATCACATAACAATTAATGGCTTTGATGCATGCCATTCATTGTGTACAATTGTGTTGCTAGCTGTGATTGGTCACAGTGATCACATGGTCCAGACAGGGCCAATCACAGCCCACCTCTACCATATGATTAGCTGTGGCCAATCACAGCTAATCACAATAATACATACTGAATGAGTAAAAATGCTTGTTTATTGCAGTGAAATTTACTGCTATATAGCAATCACAATGTGTAAAAATAAAAAGTGATTTTTTTTTTTTTTACATTTCATCATTTTCCAAAAAATGACAAAAAAAATTACAACTTCAAAAAACTTGCCATGCCTCTTACTAATTAAACGTGGACTGTCTACTTTCCAAAACAGGGTCATTTGGGAGATATTTGTACTGTCCCAACATTTTTAGGCCTCAAGAATTGGGATAGGCCATTAGTACATCAGGAATAATCGATTTTCAGATATATACCATAGTTCGTGGACTCTAACTTTCCTACAGACTAAATAATATGCACGGATTTGGGTTATTTTCACCAAATAGATGTAGCAGAATACATTTTGGCCTAGATTTATGAACAATTTCTTTTTTGCAAAATTGTATAATAAATGAAGAAAAACGGGTTTTTATATTTTAAATAAAAAGGTTACTTTTTTTCGTTTATCAAAAAAATAAAAAACCCAGTGGTGATTAAATACCAAAAGAAAGCTCTATTTGTGTGAAAAATAGGTTAAAAAAACAAAAATGTAATTTGGGTAGAGTGTTGCATTATCGCACAATTGTCAAAGTGCGACAGCGCTGAAAGATGAAAATTGGCCTGGGCAGGAAGGGGGAGAAAGTGCCTGGAAGTGAAGTGGTTAAGTATGTAGACAGGGAGATCCATATTTAATTACATACGAAGGCTCCACAGAAAGTGACAAAGACAAGAGAAGAGCAACAGGTATTTTTGTTTTCTTGCAGAAAATATTATTACCATGAAATGTGATTAATGCAGCCACATCTAAGGACAGGTAAACTGCAATATATAAATTTTTTTAGATTTAGATGGGTTGTGCTTTAGGGCTCCTTCACTTAACACAATTCTACGGGGACTGATTTATAATATAGCGATCATTATACAATCTCCATTATTCCATGCCTGTGTGATTGATGAGAAAAAAAAAAAAAAAAGGGAAGAAATTCAGTTTGAGTCAGGATCTGAACTTTCAATACCTAGCAAAAAAGCACAGCTGTCTAACCATTTCTTGTCTAGTAAAGAAAAAATCTGAAAGTATATAGCTAGACTTGTTACTTAAAATAATACAAATATAAACTATAACCTAAAAAAAGGACATACTTACTTGCATTTTACCTTTTGGCATTCGACTCAGTTCATTTATTAGGTCCTTAAGTCTTTCTTCACTACGTCCACATAAAACAAGTTGAGCACCAGCCTTGTAAAATACTTTCGCACATTCTGGATAGAACAGAAGCTATGTGAATTTTCACAAAGTACACAACGACAAATTGTAAATATTTTATATCATATGGAAGACCCGATTAAAAATAGACAAGATAAAGTATATTTAGGACAAATCTCTCCCCCCCCCCATTTTGGATAAAACAAAAACAGTTAAAAAAACAAAAAAAAAAACAAAAAACTTTTTTTTTCCCACCTAGGTACTATTGGAAAGATGGTACACAACAGAAAGTGAGAAGAAAACTTTGCAGAGTGTGGAAACAAAAATGATTCATTAGAAGACTATCCCTTCATTCATGTTCTGACGAGAACGCAAAATTGTGGATTTTGTTCTATTACTTTCAGCAAATCAAGGCTCTAAATTAAAAAAAATGTTTGCAGTGTAGATGATACACATAGAATAAAGAAAATCTTTACTGTCTACACAAAATTTAAAATATTACAAAAATAGCAGCAACACAGCAAAATTTTATTGCTTTAAAAAGGAGATCTACACATAAATCTATTCCTTTTGAAGGAGTAATAGGGTCATTCTGCTAATAAAATAAAAATACTTTTAAAAGCCCTGGTTCACACTGGTGTGGCTTTGAAATCGTGCTACTTCAATGCGATCAATTTCAAAGCCGCATATCAGTGCAATTTGCACTGACGATTTCATTCCGGCTTGCAACTTCCTATAACAAAAAGTCTATGCAAGTCGCAATTAAATAAGCAAAACGTAGTGCAGGAACCTTTTTCATAATCACTGCCGCATGAGTTGCGGCGTTATGAATGTTTCCATTGCCGGCAATAGGGTGTGGCTTGTAATGCGATTTGGAACATCAAATCATATGCCAAGTCACACCAGTGTGTACCGTGGCTTAATGTGGAAATACAGTGCTATCAAGTTCTTGTACTCATCTTCTCTTTTTTTGGGGCTTGTGTAAATGGGCACATGCAGCATGTTTTCAGATGAATTCAGCTAGCATTTAAATAAATAGCATTAGAAATAATTTTTAAACCCCCAGGAGACCCAGTGCAAGCTGTAAAATCCCCCTGTACACATTTACCTTTGCCTAGGCCAGAGGTGGCACCTGTGATAACAACCACAGCATCTTGGACATAAGCACGGCTACGTAGCCGCTGTAAGACTTTGAACAGACTATAGATTCCAATACTGCCAATAAGGAAAGGAACGATCACCCATGACGTCAAGTCCATCAGCCTGAGTTTAGAGCAAGAATGGCCCTTTCTGTTAAAAAAAAAATAAAAAACACATTTAGTTAAAAAAAATAATTTTTTTTACTATAATTACTAAATGATAAAAGTTGAGGGAAAAATGTGTACAAAGGGCATTTTTTTATAGAAGTAAATTATGCTTCAAATTGTATGGATGCCAGTACAATATATAATAGAAATGAGCTCTGCCTCTGAGTCAACGTACCCTAATGGCTGGGACAAGAGACCTATTGTTAATACAACTGATATTATATTTTATACAAGCATATCAAACCCTTATAGAATGTCATAATATACTAGGATCAAGTCTTATTATTGCAATATCCATCATCAACACAATGGGTAGAAGCGTGGAAAAGGGGAACACCAAAGTCAGAAAACCCCATATTAACAAGTCTAAATTTACAATCATATAGATCAGGTCAGACTGCAACAAGTCATTTATAAATCTATAGGCTCCCACCAAAAGCCAGGGTTATCAGCTTTCTTTGCCAGGGGTATTGTCTTACAAGTCTCATAAATCACACTAGCAATTAACTAGTAATTAACCATAAATACACAGGCAAGATCGTATCCAAATATGTTAAGGAAATTCTCCAAAACATCCTTATATTACATTGTACTTAAAAACTAACATTGTTGCACTACTTTTTTAGGCATTTCATTTGGTGGATGTGGAACCAAGTCAGTGCTGGCAGCAACCAAGGAGAATGGAGTTGTTTTTTAAATAGAGGTGTGGTAGCATGGGAAACACTCACATTTTTTTCAATTTCCAATCGATGTTGTTACAAATCCATAAGGTTGGGTTCACAGCTTGTGTCTGTTGGGAACACACACAGAAACGTACTGCCCTTTAGTAGATGTGTGGGGGTGCCATTTTTCGTGTGTGCCAAAAAGCATGGTACCGCAGCATCATGGGGTTTGGTGAGGTGTGTCTTTGGCACAGGGTCAGGGACTTCTTTTCAGCATTTATCATGTGTAGGGCATCCCAATGAAATGAATGGGCTGCCAGAAACACACGCACTCCATCTGGTGTGAACCTGGTCTTAAGCACCTACATTTAAAATGATTCAAACATCTTTGAACTTGTGTTTATCCACTTGATCATTCTGATAGGTCCTCTCTCAGGAGGATTAGATTATTAAAGAGAATTTCCTCTTGAGACCCGCTAAAAAGGGGACACTCCACCTATTTACACAGCAAAACTACAGCATTTTAACATTAAAAACAGAACCCCCCCTTTTATTTTAAATATAAGCTATAGTCCCAGCACAGATTTAACCCTTGTGGGATCCTGGAGCAGAGTTTATGAAGCCCTCCTCACGCTCCCAGAGCTTCTGATGTACATCTCTCCCTAGTTCCCCCATGTTACTCTCTCTTTTTTGTGGAAGTGAAAATATGAAGTCTTCCTCATGGCTCTCCATGTAATGTTTATAGGGCTTAGATGGTTTATTTAATTTGGGATTACTGCCATTACAAAAATGTTCTACTATTCTTACACAGAGTGGTCTTATGGTACAACCTACATACTGTAACAAGCATTTTTTACACATTACTACATATTGAAAATTTCAGGTAATGCAGTTTACTGCTTAACAGAAAATTTCCCATCACCATCGACCTTGCCATTTTTTTGTTTGTGGAACCTACAGAGCTTGCTTAGTGGGCAATTTGTCAATGGTACAAGTAAATATAATTTTTACCTTTTTTCCCCTCACTCCCACTCTGGCTTATGGACAGGCCCTCAGCATCCTTACTTACAATGCAGGACTGATGGTCTTACATTGTTTGTGATAGCATTACAGCTATGACCACTGGCCAGAGTGCGGAAGAAAATGAGGCTACGAGTGACCAGTCACAAGGAAGGGGAGCCTGTGTCGTAGGGTAGGGATTAAATGTACTAAAATGTCTTGAATAAAAGTTGATAAACCGTTATGAAAATATCATGCAACACAAAATTGCAACTATCAATTACCAATTTTTATTCTTCATGGCCTCTGCATTCAGAAAATTTATATATGTGCGGAAAAAAAAAAAAATATGTTCCAGAGGGAAAGTGGTTAGTAACGGATAGTACAGGTATCATTTTTAAATTCTGCTACATATTTTCCATGTAGACCTACCGATATGATCATTTTAAGAAACACTGCTCATTTGCATTTACAAGTCTGTCATCTTAGCATTCATCTTGAAGAGTTAAATCAACCCAGTTTAAAATAGAAATGAAAGGCAAAACATGTATGTATAGATATATGTAAAAAAAAATTATAATTTTTTTCCCTGTGATCACGTACGCTCTAACCTCCTTATGCTGCTGAGAACACAGAGCTGGGAGAGGAGAAACAGCTCCCTGAACTTCCCATTGAAGGGCTGTGGGGTTAGGGGGAAGGGGGGTTGGAATGGATGAGCAGAAGTCTGATCATTGGATGAGAGCACACAGAGTTCCCAGCACAACTAGAAAAATGACCACGCTGTGCTCTCATGCCCAGTGTTGTCAGTTTTTAATAGGAAAGCAGATGGACTAGCAAGAACATCAGGTATTTCATAAGGTATTTCACACTGGCGGAGGGGAGGCAGGACAGAACACACAGAGCGGACGGCAAACACACAAAGCTTTAGACAAAATGACAGTCACTCAATAGGGGGAATGCAGGGAGGGTGACCTCGCCAATAGGGGAATAGCAAGGAGAGGGCCAAAACACTTCTAGTCCAGCCCCAAGGGGGCAAAGTTAAAGTCTCTGCAGCAGCAGCTTGTAATCCAACAGTGAGGTAGAGGAGCAGTTCAAGAACAAATAAATTAGTCCAAAAGAGAATCTTCCCTCTTTTATCAAATAATCTACCTATATGTACAACAACAAAAGTTTCCCCATATAGTTCTATACGTGAACTAACAAAAAATCATAAAGTCCAGTGTCCCAATGATCAAAACTAAATCATAAAAGTCCAGTGTCTCGATAATCAAAATAGTAGAACCGAAAAAAAGGATGATGTGTATCTTGCAGCGTTGATTGTGTTCGGTGATTTATGTGAAAAACCTCAAAAATAAAGAAACTCACAATAGTGCATTACCATAATATAATCAGAACAAAAAAAAAAAAAAAAAAAAAAAAAAACACACAAAAAAAAAAAAAAAATATATATATATATATATATATATATATACGCTTACATGCACACACAAATGTGTATCATAAAGTTGTGCAACACTAAGTGATAGTGAAACACTTGTGAAAACCTTCCAAACAAATAGTAAAATACTCGTGCTCAAAAAATTCTGAAATCCTGAAGTGAAACACTCAGTGAAACTACTATCCACACGTGACACTTCTAGTGAGTAAGGCTGGCCATACATTATACAATTATCTGCAGATTTTTGGTTTAGATTTACCAAAAACCATATAATAGGAGGACAAACCTAAACAACACTTTCAGTTGTATCCAATTAGGCAGGCCCTTGCACTACATAGTTGAAGGTAAATCTAAAGGAAATTGGGCAGAAAATCTGCAGATAATTGTATAATGTATGGCCAGCCTAAGGCAAATGTACCCTTACCAACAGTAGAGAAAAAGCACGCCTTTATAGTATAATTAGTAGAAATCCTCCAAAGGAACTTTCTCCTCCTCTCCTCCTTCACTTATTGTTAGGGTGATGTTGTAATGCCATCCACTTTCCCAGGTCTATAATCATGGCCGCTGTAACACTTCCGAATTTATATTTTAGATGAGATGGTAATATTTATTATGACCAGTAGGGGGTGCTAAGTGTAGACACCAGTTCAAATATAGTTTAGTATATGAGATGGGTACCAGGATATATATAAAGTAGGGGATATTAAATAAAATAATGTTTTTATTAATTCAATGTGAAATCATGGTTAGTTAAAATTTAATTTTTGTATCTTGGACTATTAAGATATAGCTGCTATATCGAATGCGGTTCCACTGAGTATGCTCCTAATTTTTGACTGCATAGGGAGTGTACTTCCTGCTAGTCGGCTGTGCGGTTTAGTAAGGGCGATGTTTCCCTGTTCCAATATGGCGATCGGAGTATCGTCAGTCAATCGAGGAGTGGTATTTATTGTGGCCAGGTGTCAGGACGTCTCTCTCTCTTATGATTAAGTCCCGGATGTGACAAAACGCATCAAGAGGAAGTGACGTCATACGCAAGAAACAGGAACCGGAAGTGTTACAGCGGCCATCTTTGTTGGGGAATCGCTGGATACCTGTGTATGAACTGCCTGGAAAACTGTGGGAACTGCCTGGTAATCCCCAGAAAGTGGGTTTTTGTCTCAATCGCATATTTTAATGTAAGCAGACTTATTAAAATGTTATTTTGAATACATGGAGGTACGTCATGGCTAATTTCTATTATACTGGAGCCTGGTAAACCCATGATTATAGACCTGGGAAAGTGGATGGCATTACAACATCACCCTAACAATAAGTGAAGGAGGAGAGGAGGAGAAAGTTCCTTTGGAGGATTTCTACTAATTATACTATAAAGGCGTGCTTTTTCTCTACTGTTGGTAAGGGTACATTTGCCTTACTCACTAGAAGTGTCACGTGTGGATAGTAGTTTCACTGAGTGTTTCACTTCAGGATTTCAGAATTTTTTGAGCACGAGTATTTTACTATTTGTTTGGAAGGTTTTCACAAGTGTTTCACTATCACTTAGTGTTGCACAACTTTATGATACACATTTGTGTGTGCATGTAAGCGTATATATATATATATATATATTTTTTTTTTTTTTTTTGTTTTGTTTTGATTATATTATGGTAATGCACTATTGTGAGTTTCTTTATTTTTGAGGTTTTTCACATAAATCACCGAACACAATCAACGCTGCAAGATACACATCCTTTTTTCGGTTCTACTATTTTGATTATCGAGACACTGGACTTTTATGATTTAGTTTTGATCATTGGGACACTGGACCTTATGATTTTTTGTTAGTTCACGTATAGAACTATATGGGGAAACTTTTGTTGTTGTACATATAGGTAGATTATTTGATAAA